TGAACGCGGAGGAAAGCTCGGTCTCCTACTTCCAAAGTGAAGTCTCGCCTTCTCTGATCCGCATAAGATTTCTGTCTGTCTTGTGCGGTCTTCAGGTTAGCGCGAATCTTCCGAATCACTTCCGTCGTCTCTTCAACGATTTCAGGTCCGAAAGTTCTGCGTTCGCCGATCTCGGTCCAGCATAGTGGCGTCTTGCATGGCCTTCCGTACAGTGCCTCATACGGTGATACCCCAATACTCGCGTGGTGACTGTTGTTGTATGCGAATTCGCACAACGTCATGTACCGATCCCACGGAGCTCCCCACTCTAGTACACATGCTCGGAGCATGTCCTCTAAGGTTTGGATGGTTCGTTCTGACTGCCCGTCAGTCTGTGGGTGATACGCTGTGCTCATCTTCAACTTTGTACCCAATGCTCCCTGTATAGCCTTCCATAGACGAGATGTAAATCGAGCATCTCTATCGGATATGATTTCACTTGGCACTCCATGCAGCCGTATGATCTCATCGACGTATATTTGTGCCAATCGCTCGATCGTGTACTCCTGTCTGATAGGGATGAAGTGAGCGGATTTCGTTAATCGGTCCACAACCACCCAGATGACATTTTTCTTACTCGGGGTAAGTGGTAACCCAACCACAAAATCCATTGCAATAGAATCTCATTTCCATTCCGGAATTTCCAATGGTTGTAGTTTGCCACCCGGCATCTGTCGTTCCGCTTTCACTTGCTGACAGGTAAGGCACCTTGCTACGAAATCAGCCACATCCCGCTTGATTTCCCGCTTTGACGTTTTCTGCGATTCATTAATAGAATAAGGTATTTTCTTATTACGAAATGGGTTTGTTGCGGTTATACGTCTGGTCTTTAACTCTATGGTCGACGCTGAATTGTTTTTTTTCCATACATACTGGGGTGATCACTGATCATTCGGTTATTTTTGTTATTAACCAAACCAAATCGAATAAATGTATTTCGATTATTAACCGATTTGAATTGAATAACCAATTGGTTATAAATTTTTAACTCCGAAATAATCGAACAAAATCGAATTGATTAAATTTAATAATCCAAAATAATCATTCGGTTATTGCGAATTGATTTTTTTTAGAAGATAGAAAATTCATGTATTTATCAGAAAAAAATAGCAATATTTATTTGGAATTTTTTCCTAAAATTGACCGCTCAATAACATTATAACAATATATTTAAGAAAACATTACTACTATAAGCGGATACTCATCATCGAAAGGATCTGATTGACAAATCCTGAACTTATGTTTGTTTAGTTTAATTTAAAATATTCACCATTCAATCGTTAATTAAAATTTTTTTCCAACTCTGTGAATTCAACTTCTTTTTGGTATTCTATGTTATTCGTGTTCAAAAAAGTTTCATTTGTGGTTTTTTTTTTCTTTCGCTAATCAAAATGCAAGACCATTTATGTATTTATTTTTTTTTTACCAGAGGTGCTCCCACAATTCAATTTCTCAAAAAAAAAATTTTGGGGCAAACCACCAATCTCAACTATAGAAATTAAACACAAAGAACCGTAAACAAAGGCTGATCAGATGACATGTTTAAAATTATTTTGTTTCATTTATATATATTAATTTTTTTTTTTCAAAACCGAAAAACCAACACATGTCTACGTGGGAACAAAGGCAGACTTTTCGCCGTATGTTGTAATTTATTCATTATTTCAAAACTTCATTTCGCTGTGTGGTTTATTCCATATAAATTCACGTTATATATATATATATATACACACACACTTTTCTACGATTTCTTAACAAGTGATTTTGACAGATACAACAAAATTGCTCTTAGAGCTGACTTTTGCCTAAAGATTTCTCATATATTTTTAAAATTTCGTTGTACCGAAAAAGATTTACATGAGATATTGTAATAAGTAGATGAGTATATATAGAATACGGTCATTTACCATAGTTACATATAGAATATGCAATGGAACACTTCACGACATAAAGTGTGCTTGTTGTATAATAAATTGATTGATTTGGTTAAATTAACCTCGTACATTTATTTAGCAGACGGTAATTATTGTCCTAGGATTGCACAAAAGCAAAACTACTAACAAATGTGTTAGTTTCATAAAATAATAATACATTAAATTCTTCAACCAAAAAGCGTTTACATTTACATCACACTCGGATTCGACACGGCTTCTAACGAAATCTTAATTACCACAGGAAAAGAAATCCAAAAATAAATCTTTTTATTTTTACTTTAAATAACAAAATTACAGACAAGCTTTTTGTTGGTCCTACACTCCCTCCCCATCAACAAACCCTATTATCTCCTTAAAACCAAAAGACAGGAAAAAAAAAAATTCATAACCCAAACTGTAAAAATACTATTCATAGCCATTCACAAACCCATCTCCTAAAATTTCTTGCTAAAGAAGAAACCAAGAAGAAGAAGAAAAAAAAAACAAGAGGAAGCAAAAAAAATAAGCCTATCTATTTTTTCTCTTCCTCCTCATTGAGCTTTAACCCTCCCCTTCCTCTCGCCCTTTTACTGCAACAATGGGGAATTGTTGCTCTCATGGACAAGAACCATCTGACAACACAACCGACGAACCGGCGGCTCAGAACCCGACCAACCCAGCGGAAACCTCTGCCGCCGCGTCCAAACACGCGCCCCCCTCCCCTCCTCCTGCAATCAAACAAGGCCCTATCGGACCTGTCCTAGGCCGACCCATGGAAGATATCAAGGCCTCGTTCTCGTTGGGCAAAGAGCTTGGCCGCGGCCAATTTGGCGTCACCCATCTTTGCACCCACAAGGCCACGGGCCATCAATTCGCTTGCAAGACCATAGCTAAGCGGAAGCTCGTGAACAAGGAGGATATCGAGGATGTGAGAAGGGAGGTTCAGATAATGCATCACCTGACTGGACAGCCGAACATCGTCGAGCTTAAGGGAGCCTATGAGGATAAACATTCCGTGCATTTGGTTATGGAGCTTTGTGCCGGGGGAGAGCTGTTCGATAGGATCATCGCCAAAGGGCATTACTCGGAGAGAGCCGCTGCTTCATTGCTAAGGACGATAGTTCAGATTGTGCATACTTGCCATTCCATGGGAGTTATTCACCGGGATTTGAAGCCCGAAAACTTTCTGTTGCTCAACAAGGATGAGAATTCTCCTCTCAAAGCCACCGACTTTGGGCTATCAGTGTTCTACAAGCCAGGTTCGTCGGAATCATCATCATAGCCTGTCCTGAACCAAATTCATATAAAAAATAAGAGATTCGGTAATTATTCACAGGATTTATATATTTTCTTCGCCGTGTTACAGGAGAGGTGTTCAAGGATATTGTGGGCAGTGCTTATTACATCGCACCAGAAGTCTTGAGAAGGAAGTACGGACCAGAGGCTGATATTTGGAGCGTCGGTGTCATGTTGTATATCCTCCTAAGTGGTGTTCCACCCTTTTGGGCGGGTAAAGATTCCGTTCCGTTTCCATTTCTGTGAAAACACCACAAATACCAAAGATTACACATGCAGACAGAGATTTACATTCATGCGTTCCCGTTACCTGTTGATAGAGTCTGAGAATGGGATATTCAACGCCATCCTACGAGGACAAATTGATTTTTCAAGCGATCCTTGGCCGGTCATCTCACCTCAGGCAAAGGACCTTGTTAGGAAGATGCTTAACTCGGACCCCAAGCAAAGATTGACGGCCGCACAAGTTCTCAGTAAGCATCTGAGAAAACACGAAAACGTCAAACACGACAACCTTTCCCAGCAAATCTTTGATAAAACTCCAAATTCATCTGTCCTAATATTTTCTCCCTTATTTTTTCTCCGTGGTAAAAAGACCACCCATGGATCAAGGAGGATGGAGAGGCACCAGATGTTCCTCTCGACAATGCGGTGATGTCCAGGCTCAAACAATTCAAAGCAATGAACAAGTTCAAGAAAGTTGCTTTACGGGTAACAACCATGTTGCTAACCCAATATTCTCATATGCCCCTGAAATCAATATTGTATCAAGCAATATGTGTAACAATATGGCATTGCTAAGCATGTAGTGTACTGAGCTTTATCTGATAATGAACAGGTGATAGCAGGCTGCTTATCAGAGGAAGAAATCATGGGATTGAAAGAGATGTTCAAAGGCATGGACACTGATAACAGTGGAACAATAACACTTGAGGAGCTAAGGCAGGGACTTGCTAAGCAAGGCACCAGATTGTCAGAGTACGAAGTCCAGCAGTTAATGGAAGCCGTAAGTCTTTATCATTTTTGCTGGTCACCTGCAAAAAAAGATAGCAAAAAGAGAGACTCCCTGCCCAATTTTTATTCAATCTGTGTGTGCATTTGATTCTCGGGTTTCTGTAGGCCGATGCAGATGGTAATGGAACAATAGACTACGGTGAGTTTATCGCAGCCACAATGCACATCAACAGACTCGACAGAGAAGAACATCTCTACTCTGCCTTCCAACACTTTGACAAAGACAACAGTGGGTAAGCACCTAACAATTCGTTACAGTTCTGATTCTTAATTTCCAAATCCAACACAATAGATGCAAAAAAGTTTTCAGTATCAGCGAAAGCTTACCTGAAATGTTGCTGTCACTCCCAGATATATCACAATGGAAGAGCTGGAGCAGGCCCTTCGGGAATTTGGCATGAATGATGGCAGGGATATTACCGAAATAATCTCTGAAGTCGACTCTGATAATGTAAGCAACAAAGACAGTCCTGCTAATGTCACATTTACTAATAGTTTACATTTTCCATCACAGCAGCCAACCTAACCTCAGACACTAAATGCACTGCTAAAACATTTACAGGATGGGCGGATAAACTATGATGAATTTGTGGCAATGATGAGAAAAGGAAACCCAGATCCTAATCCAAAGAAGCGGCGTGAACTGTCATTCAAATGACCCCATTGTTGAGGTAGAGGAAGAGAGAAGATAGAAACAAGAAAAGAAAAAAAAAAGAGAGCAGCACATACAATGAGAAACTTCATCTTTTGATGGCGAAAGCAAATTTCAGAAGCACATCTGTTCTACATATGCACAGAATGCTAGTTATTGAATCGGAGGGGGGAACTTCAAAAGAGGTGATGGCTCATGAAGGGGAAAAAATCATTAACTGGGATTAGGGAATGTGAGGTGTATTGTGTTCATACATATTTTTTTCTGGTTGTTCTATTAATTCATCAAAAATGCCAGGGTTTCTCAATGTACCTAATTCGTTTCAACTCTAATATGTGTGTGCATTATTAATGTTGTCTGTTGCTAACAAGTGAAGTGACCAAACCCATTGGACACCACTGAAGAAAGAAAGCTGAACACAGATAGAATGCCTGAAAGGTTAGAGGTCAACAATGGAGAAAAGCTAAGTATGACTAATAACTGAGACCTATGTTCATTATGGATGAACATTCCTCAGAATCTAAAGACTGAATTTTGAGGCAAACCCTAAAACATCCTAACCTCTGAATAGTTCACCCAGAAATATCCTCCACAAACTACAATTCAGACCTTTAAATCTATGGTCTAACCCTAACACAATTCTCTCACATGTATTCTTCAAATGTTCTTCTCCCACTCATCACCAAGCACAGAAATCCGACAATAGAATGACGAAATTTCGAACGGAGCGAAGCATTTGAAAAAGACGTGAACTGCATATCTTCAGCCATTCGGTTCAAAACCATATAATCCCGCAAGAAGCAACAACAAAACACAATTTGGAGTTAAAAAATCATATTTCATTGCCTGGTAGATAAAAAGGACAAAGATTCAACAAGTTCCGGAGCTCAAAACAACTCCATCGACTGCATATCCCCAGAATTAAACCCTAAATCGCAGCCGTAATAGGGACACCATTGACGCTCGAATCAAACATGCTTTTTTTTTTTACTTATCTTTGGTAGAGACTCCATACTTCTCCTGCATCTTAGCGATCTCGTCTTCCTTCTTTTTCTGATCAAACTTCTTGCTCATCTTCGCCTGCTGGTAATACAGCACGATGAGGTACCGATTCGCGACATTGAAGCCGGAGAGATGATCGACGGCGGTCTTGGCGTCGTAGATATCCTCGTAGACGACGAAAGCAGTGCCGCGAGTGTCCTTGTTGCAGCCGATGCGAATCTGGCGAATCGCGCCGTACTTGCCGAAGATGTCGTACATCTCCTCGCTCGTGATGTTGAATGGGAGGTTGCGCACGTAAATCACGCGATTCACCTCCGGTGGGAGTCTGGTGTTCCCCTTGCGAAGGCTGATTGTCGTCATGGTTTACGCTATTTCTCCTCGCCGCGGAGTTTGGTAGCCGAGAAACTGAGGAAAAATCTTCTCTGCGCGGAGAGGGAATCTTTTCGAACACATATATGAAGGAAGGGTGAAACCGTCTTTTTGTTGAATGGCGTTGTCAAGCAAATCGCACGGAACCACGAATTGTGGTGTAAACCGCAGCAGCTAACCGAACCGGTTTAAATCGGCATATCTGGTTCAATTATTCGGTTTGACGGCTGATACCATATATGCCCATTTGAGATTCCAATCAAAGCCTGAAATAAGCTATATATATACACACATTATATATTCCATGACAAAGATCGATTCTTTAACCTTTGAACACAATCAATATCAAACACAACGATCTGTAATAGAGATGACCCATGATCTATGAACAACATTGTTCACAATGCCTAAACCATATAATATATCTTGGACCCAAATAATGATATATGCAACTGTTGTAGAAATGAAATGACAGAATGCAAAAAAGTACCTGTATCTTAACCTTCAGATCTGGAACGCTTAACTGGAGCTCGAAGAGACGATAGGTAATTAGCGTCTGACTTGTCAATCCCATCGAAAAGGTAACTGAAAGGCGGCATCTTTACGTACTTTCCCGAGCCAGGAATGACCTTGAGTTCATCATTTTCCCATACAACTCTTCCTCCGGCTATTGTCACTTCCACCTTCCCCTGAATTCAAAAGTAACATCCCCGGGATATCGGTTAAACGAGAACAATAAAGATTTGCTCTTAAACGGGTAGGACAATGTTATTTATGAGGAATACCTTTCCGCTTCTACCCTCGTAGACATTAGTGTCTGTTCTGGAATGATGAGACTTTGAGCTGATCTCGAAGCTCGAGTTGGGATTCAGTATGATTATGTCCGCGTCTGAGCCGGGAAGAATAGCTCCTTTCCTTGGATAGATGTTGAAAATTCTAGCACTGAAATGAAATGATACGGACCATTCTAAATGAACATTATACCTAACCACGCAAGTCATAGCGAATACACTACTACCACCCATAGGAAAAGCGTATTTTGAGATCGAAAGAAGCTGTGGAAGATCATATACCATTCAGTGCTTGTTATTCGGACAAAATCAGTAACAGAGATTTGGCCAGATCCCTGGATCATGAGACGGAAACCGATTAGAAGCTTAATAAGAAAACAAGTGTCGAGTCCAATGGCACTTACCACCATGGTATCCCATATCAGGTGCATCCGTTCTTCGAGGCCTAAACATCGACATGTTAAAAGGGTTTATTAAACCAGTAAAACACGTCATACAATGAGCACAAAAAAGCAAGAATTAGTCTCCTATTACCATTAACACCGTTAGGAATTTTCCGGAAATCATCAATGCCAAGAGCTTTTTGTGTAGAATTAAAGGTACAGTGATCAGTTCCTACAAGCTGCAAACCAAATGCCAAAAAAATTTGCAAGTAAGAATCTTAAGAAATTCAAGGAAAAAAGATCGCTGAAAAAGATACCTGAAGAATTCCCGTTGAAAGGGCAGCCTGTAAAGCTTTTCCATGTCCGGCTGGCCTAATAGGTGGACTCATCACATACCTAAAGCATTGAGATTTATACAAAACATCAAAAACTAAAGGAAATGTTTGACATCACTCAGTAACAAAACTCAAGAACACTTTTTTTTCCTCACTTGGCTGCAGTTATGAAATCAGGATGCCAAAGCCACTGATCATCAAGGATTAATCCAGAAACAACAGGCTCTCCAATAATCTTCTGGCCTGAAATTTGATTGTATCGTGAATATAGGTCAGGAAATAACAAAAAAAAAACTAGTTCTATCAGTTTTCTATCACATAACCTGCTTTCCTAGCTTTTGCAACCTCCTCCATTGCGTCAATACTCATAACATGGACAACGTAAAGAGGCGTGTTAACAAAATGAGCCAAACGAATTGCTCGGGCAGTGGCTTCTCCTTCAATCTGGCATTGTCAAACAAGAATCTGGATTTAGCATTGACAAAGGTTACAGGTGAAAAGAAGACATGGGTGAAAGTAAAAACATGCTAGCCAGTAATTCAAAATGATGACATGTATGTATATATCTGAATTACCACCGCAGGCCTTGAAAGAGCATGCCCCTCTGGACCTGTAATGCCTAGTTCGATCATTCTTTTCTGTCCTTCAGACACTGCATCTCCATTTTCTGCATGAACCATTGCCAAGGCACCAAGGGACTTGCATCTTTTAAGGCCCTCCAATAAGAGCTCATCGGTGACCATAAAGGATCCTTTGTATGCTAAGAAGAATTTGAAAGAGTTGATACCTGTGAATTTACAGATACAGGCACTTGTTTTCATCTGCATAGTAAAACCAGTAAAAATCCACAAAACCAGCATATGCCATGGCTATCTATGCCTTAAGAGACATTTATTTACCCTTTTCCTTGACCAATATTTCCATGTCCCTGGAAACATTTTCATCCCACTTTGTAATTGCCACATGAAAACCATAATCCATGCACGAATTTTTGGATTTTTTCTCATAGGCTTCAAAACCAGCCAGTAGATTCCCGTTGACTGGTATAACGAAGTCAATGTGCATAGTTGTTCCACCAGCTAATGCTGCTGCCTGGCCACTGAAGAAATCATCAATAGTTTCGGAACCCATAAATTCCATGGCGAGGTGCGTGTGAGGATCAATTCCTCCTGTTGACATCAAGGAAGAGCAAAATATAAAACTGAGAGTCAAGATAGAAACTTCGAATAGAATCAGAAAGATACTGAAGCTTTTAGGATCAGTTGAAAGAAAAGTAATTAATGAAAATAAACAAATATATATTGTTTTAACTCAAAGTTACATAGGCATTCCTGATATCAAATATACATACTTTGTATAACTACATTTTACGAGGAAACTAGATCTTCAAGTTTAAATACGCACTTAAGAGTTGAAGCTCTGCACAGTTCCATGTTTATTGGCTCATAAACGTGAATCATGAGTCAAGAAACACATAATGTTATTCAGTTTTTTTTTTTCCGAGCGAACAATCAAGACATATGATGGTAACAAGTCACTAACCTGGCATGACAAACTTTCCAGAGGCATCGAGCACAGTGACATCATCCCCAACCTGCCCAAAGACAGCGAAACGATCTTAAAGCAGCGCCAATTGTAGGAGATCTCCAACAGTACAAATGGATTAAAGAGAGGAAAACATAGAATCCAATATCCATTATATCAGAAGAACATAACTTCAAATTTTGACAAGACCACTAGTAAAAGATTGACACTGACATCAGATATACAGAGAACTGAACCGCCAGATTCAAGATCTATCAGAAGGATCGAGAAACAGAAGAATTTGATACCGCATGCTATCTAACTTGTAAGTCTCATATGTGTGATACCGTCTTCAAGTTTCGTGTGAAGTTCATCACTCCATCTTCTAAGTGACTTCAAAATATTACAGAAAGTAGGAGACTTGGCAAGGAAATAACTCTACCTCGATGTTTGGCTGTACCGAGACAACAATCCCATCCTCCACAAAAACATCAGCAACCTCTTGATGGTGTGCATTCACGACAGTACCTCCTTTGATCAAAAGCTTTGTTGACGAGGACGACTGAATTCCACACGCTGTCGCACCATAATATCCACTCTCAGCACTACAAAACTGTAAAAAGACTCACAAAACCCATCAGAAAAGTCTGCAGCGTCACAGAAATCAGATACGAAGAAACTGTAAAACCCGATTTCAAATCTTCCAAAAATCAAATTATGCTTGGGTAATTTCCTTTTCACTGTGAGATTCCAAATCACGCTCATCTCAGCAGCTAGTTTCCAGAACAAGAAAATACCATGACTTGTCTATATTCATGGCAAAATATTCAGTCGAAACAAACTGAAGAAAAAAATTTCAAATTGGAGGAGGACTTGATCAAGAGTAAAATTCACACAAACGACAACTCCAACACGTTTTCTCTCAATCTCACTTTCTCGGGAAACAAGCAGGAAAAACAGCTACCAAGCCTCTTCGACAACCGCGAAGAGAACCACGAAAGAGAAGATCAAACACAAACCTGCTGAGTAGAACCGGAAATGGAAAAAGGCGGAAACAGAAGACAGAGCGCAAAAACGCAGCAGAATCCATCGACAAATCGAAACGCCATGGACGAGGCGATGAAACTCGTGACGGACTCCTATATTTGGTCAGAAGCTATACTTCTGTGAATTGATTGACCCAAACCTGGTCAAAACACGTCGCGACCAAAATGAAAAGTGTTTTGTGTTCTTATATTCGACTCTTATCTGCTTAGTAACCGGAGTAAACCGGAATATTTCGATTAAGTCATTGAACCGGTCGGTCCTACTGAATCACTGATCAGTCCTAAACTTGTTAAGGCAAATATTATTTTTTTAAGCCATGCAATTAGGAGTTTATTGGGCTCAAAGCTAATACCCATTTCAAAATTAGGATCAGGCTATGTGGTGATAGCTTTTACTTTGATTTTTTAATTTTAGTTTTTGGTTTTTGGTTTTTAATTTTGTAGTTTTTAAAAAAAATTGATTGAATGAGTAATATTTTAATTTTTAGATTTTAGATTTTACATATAAAATTATCAAAAAGGGTTTATATATATATATATATATATATATATATATACGTCTAAAGTAAAATTTTCTTTAAAGTTATGGGTATTTTTGTCTTTTGGAATATTTTATATAATTAATATTTAATAGAAAATAAAAAAAACAATTGAGATTTTTTCGCTAAAATCTAAAAAAAAAAAGTAGTTTTTGACTTTTTCTTGATTTTCTTAAAAAATGATTTTATTGAGTTTTTGGAAAAAAAAATAAAAAATAAAATAAAATCTTGGATATTTTTCAGGTTTTTAAAAATTAAAAACTAAAAACTGAGAAAATTCCAAAACCGAAGAAAATCATATTGGGCCTAACTCACCCTTGTTGGGCTTACATTGTTGTCTTATATTAAAGCTGGCATCAGATTCAGATTACTGTACGTACGGGAAGATCCCACGTACGGGTCTCGAAGAAACAATTGTGATGATACATACATGCATTCATATGTACATACATATATATATATATATATATATTATATGATGAGAATAGCGACATGATATTACATGAAAGTTTTCAAATATAGTTGGAAACAACTCAGGATGGCCACACAAGCTAAAAAGAAATTTAACTTTTTCTCCCTCATGTTCCAATGATGATTGGCACCCTTTGTGTTTGACCATAAATATAATGCATAAATAAATAAATAAATAAATGACTGTGTGTGGGCAGTGAAAAATAACATCAACTTTTGTGTATTTTGTTTTTGTTTCTATTTGCAGTCATATAATTCTTCAATATATTAAACATATCGTAAAGTAAACATACACTCAGCGTTTTTATAACATAATTTTACACCAATATCATATCTCTATTCATGCTATTCTATCTATATGTAAATGCGTGGGATATTAGTCCACCCTAACTATAGTATATTTTTATTATTTATAATTAATTCATATAACATATATCATCATAAGTAAAATAGTAGGAAAAAGTCCCATCTCAATTCTCAATGATAAATCTCTTCTACGCAAAATTGTGGTTTCAATTTTTTTTTTTTTTGAGATCTTAACTTTTCTTTGTTTCGGTCAATTTCGATTGGATTATCTGTTCCGCATAGTTTGCCGACTATTTCGAAGGGTCGGAAATTTACTGTACAAGATGTTATCCAGTCCGCAGGGTCGTAGAAGCTCCCACCGTATATTTTTTTTAAAATATGAGTCATGTACATTGCACCAAATAATTAATTAACGAGAAATGATAATATAAACATTTTATTTAAATAGAAAAGAAGGGGTGTAATATTTTGAACCATGCAAAGTCAGTCAAAGCTTGTTTTGCACTCTCACGGTGATTACAACTTATGGCTACAAGCCTCCATTTATTGGCTATATCGATGGGTGCAAATGTAATCATTCGATATCCTTCGCTTTATATTCTGATAATATGTATATAATTTGTAATTCCTTAAAAAATGTATAAACATCTTTATTTGCTTTGATAATATCAATCTTCAAATTTAATATAAAAGGTCAAATATTTTTATGTAAAAATACAAGATGTGGAGATTTGAATGATTCAAATTTTAAAATTCAACATTTCATCACGAACTCATATATTTTATAATAACGCGATGAAATTTATAAAGTAATTAACAGTTTTGCAACATGTTAAACCAAAATGGAAGAAAAGAAAGAAGAAATGTTACCATTCAAACTTTGAAAGTTATTACCATTAACGTTGTGTTTTCATGCAAACTACTTTGACTATCCATTCGACGGGGAAATTCCGGTCCATGCATATCATTTCTTTTAAATATTATTTTCGGCTTTAATTATGAAGTGAAGTTCCTCATTTCAACGTCCATGCATTCAACATTTGAAGTTTTTTTACCAATGAAAATCTTATTTCTCTCAACTTTGAAAGTTTTTTTTTGTTATAAACTTTGAAAGGTATTCTATCTATTTCCTTTATAAAAAAGCATTTACATTTAGTGTTCATAAACGTTTACTATTAGTCTTTGTGTGTGTTACCTCTCTAACTCGTGTTCGGATGTTTTTTTTTATAATTCGGAATATCAACGGACCTTTAACCTAATTATATCTCTCAGAGAACCAGAGAAGTCTATATGAATCCCCTTTCCCAAGTGAGAACTGGAACCCGAGTTAGGAAGAAGTTTTGATCCATTTCTTAGTGGTTGAGCTACCCAATCTTGGATACTATTAATTGTTCGAATGTTAGCAATACATATATATATATATATAATCATATGTTAGACATCATTGTTAAAAAAATGGTAGATTTTGAAAATATGTTCTTTAGATAATTTTTTTTTTAAAAAAAGGCATATATCCAAGTATTATTTGGTAGCTAATTGTGAAAATCATCAGCGGGTTGGTATGCGATTTAAAAGAAGAAGAAAAAAAAACATTTGTGGAAAATAAATTATAAGAACATTAGGAAAAAAACAATAAATCTATAAGATCAAGAAAAAGGATACAATGTGGGGTGGGAGTGCAAAACAATGAGTGGGGAAAATGGCTTTTTAATGTATGTTAGTGTGTGGTAAAGCAGAGTGAAGACAACATCATTTTCCCCAAAGAAAGCAAGAATTGGAATCATCACTTCAAATCCCCTCTTTGTCCCCATCCTTTTCCTATTTTCTTTTCTTTGACCCTCTCTTCATTTCATATATATATATACATAAGTGTGTGTGTGTGTGTTATCCAAAAAAATATTAGAGTTAAATTTTTTACCCATCCATTTATTTCGATTTTTATAATTTGTTTAGAAAGGGAAAAACCAATTAAAATAATCTTGAATTCTTATTAGTATCTTAGAAAAAAGGTTACAAACTTTTGTCACTGAAATCATTCACATTTGTTTATAAGTTGTGCCAATATATATATATGGTCGTCCCAATAGAATTAGTTGATAATAATTAATAATATTTGAGCTAGAAATTATACAAGTTCTTTTGGGGCAAAACATTTACATAAATGGAAGATTTTTTTGTAGTAGAGGAAATTCTATGGAAATAAATAAAGTAGTGTATGCAAAGTCCAACTAAACTTTTTGAGCAAGTTTATGGTTTCTAAGGCCCAAAGTTTTAAGACAAGGCTGACTTCTCTCTCTTCTCATTTTCAGAGCTCAAACTCCAACTTAGAACATTAGAGAGAGATCAGAGAGAGAGAGAGAGAGAGAGAGAGATCTGGGTCTAATCCCAAGACCCTCTTCCGTTTTCGATCCAAGCAATTCTCTAACATCATCAACTCGTGCTGGGTGTTTGCAGAAGATTCTGAAGCGATCATGACAGGTTACTCGAGAAGAAAATCTCGGAGAGTCACTGGGTTCATTGCTCTTCTTGTTCTATTTCTTCTGCTATTTATGTTTCTTACCTCATCATCGTCTTCGTCTTCTTCTGATCATCATCATCATCATCATCATCATCATCACCATGGGACTATTGAACACTCCTCTCATGGAAGCTTGGAGAGATCCAAGCCATCTTTCAGGCTCCGTCATCATGACTCCAATGGCGGATCAAGCGGATCAGGATACAGTAGAGGAAGTGATAATGTGTTCGAAGATGGAAAAAGAAGAATTTTTACAGGTCCGAATCCTCTCCACAATAGATGAATATTGTGCTCTTTTTTTTTGGGTTTTGATTGATGAAAATAAAGAGATTGTGAACAAAAAAGTATGAGATTATCCAAAGATTGTTAAATATACGATATTTATATATTCTCTCTCGCTATTGTTATTTTTTGTTTGGTTTATACATACAAAACTATAATCTTGTGTTTTTGTCCCAAAAAAATCTATGAATGTGTACGTAGATACAATAATCTTGAGTTGCCCTATGATATCTGCATGAATAATGGTATTTGTTTATATATTTCCCTATTATATATATATATATATATATTGGCACGTCCTATACTTATTTATTTCATCAGTCGTCAATCCAGAGATGATGTTCAGACTCGAAATCATATTTATCAAAATTCACGTGGAAAGAATATTATATATATTGATATCCACCGAAAATCATGTATGAACAACGAAACATCATTGTTCTATAGAACTAATGATGAGGTTTGTCCTTTCTTAGAGAATTAAATACCAGTGGAATATAAGATTGTAAGAGCATCCAATATTTTACAAAATAGAAAATGATTTTTTTTGATGCTGCAAAATATAATTTTAGACTATAGTCTTGAAGGAACATATAAGACGTTTTATGCAAATATATGTTTTAAAAAAAATGGTTAATGGCACAGCAATTTAAGGTTGATTCATTCGGAGTGAAGCGACGGACTTATGAAAAACTAAAATTTTCCTTAACCATATGATAAGTCATAATAATTCATATTTATATTCCGCATAATAATAGATTTATGAATTTAAGAAGGCCAAGAGCAAGAGAACAAAAGAAAAGAGTATCACGGGAACACGCAAGAGATCAGATTTCCATAGACAGACATGAACTCTTCAGAACAGTTGCAGTCTTGCAGGACAGTGCATTGCCTAAAACATTACATAAAAGATCATCGAATCTTTGTCCTAACATCTGGTGTTCTTTCTCTATCTGGGGAACAAGGTTTTGTGAAAGAAACTGTCCACAGCATCTCAACGAGAGTTTTCAGAAGAATCGCCGCCTCTCATGAGTTCAAGAACCGCTTTGCAGTATCCCGATCCAATTCTTCATAGACCTGAAAACGAATGGAATCAGTTCCGATTCACGAAGACATTAACTGGAGGTATCGAGGGCATTACGAGATAATTAGAGACATACGAGTTTATTGTGAATTCGCTGGAAAGCCTTGCAGAACCTCTCTGCTTCGATCTTGCCAACCTTTGACAAATGAAATCCATAGACAACTACGAATCATGCTCACGTTGAAAAGAAAAAAAGATGTCTAGTTTAATCCAATACAGTATGTGTATTATGTAGTAGCAGAAAGAAACCAAAAACTAGGTTTAACTTCAGAAACCTATACGAGAAAGTAACGAACAAACAATAGATCTCTTGAGTTTATAGTTTCAAACGCGAGAAGATCTTTGATCACCTAAGGGGGATTTTAATTTTCTCAAAATCCAAAACCACATCACGGATGTCCAGGTATGTCGGTAAATCTTTCCATAAGTTTCATTCAATCACAAGAAATGCGTGGAAAGGATCACCAGTCAAGATATAATACCTTCTTCTCTGCAGCCGATTTCAGATTCTCCCAAAACTTATCTGCCAAAATGAGTCCACAATCAGAAAGAATGATAAGTCTGCAAGAATCTTTATATCCCCATTAACTTGTAACCAGAAAACGGAAGCAACACTCATGAAGAAGAAAGATGCAGATGCATGACATCTGGAAAAGAAATTAAGGAAAATCTGGCTTCGGTAATCGTTTAAATGTTTGGGAGACAGAGTATGAAAGTAGCACGAAGCTGTTTGTTACATCAATCCATGGATAAAAGATCAAGATTTTCTATGGCCGCCGGGGAAATAAACGAAAAGAATGAAAGTATACAATTAGGTCAAAGATTACATGATATGGATTTAATTGGAAGTTCAAATACAGCCTCACAACTTCCTCAACTGTTACCAAAATCTTTCATCTGTTCTGTATTGAAAATATGAGTAAATCCAATAAAAAACAGCAAATACTCAGAAGAAAAAAGGGTATTTTCCTCTATCTTTCACGAAAAAATTTTGCTCAGACCTATCAAGAAAAACCAAATAATGCAGATCACAAAGAGAACTATACTCGGTATCAGAAATTCCACAGAACAAAAGTAACAAACCTTGATCAGTCTCTTGGTTTCGGAAGCCTGTCTGGTCCTCATCTGTCCACGCATCATGCCATTTCATCACCTGTTTTCCACGGGTCCAAACCGCATAAACCAGGCAACGGTATCCATAATTCGTCAAGTAAAATCATGAAAATGGGCTTTTAGATCGTTGCTTTTACCTCACTCTCCTGCACGGGCTGTGAAATTGATTGCCTTGATGAATCCAAGTCGGCCTGCAACAAAAAATCAGGATGATTCTCCACTGATAAACCAAAGCAAATAGACAACAATAGGCAAGAAAAGCATGGGAGCAACTAATGAAGGTATTCAGTATCGGATTGGATCAAATCTTGAGAGGAATTCTAGACATTTCAAGTCGTGTGGAAAACAATTTAAGATATTCGGTTTATTCACCAAAACTTATCATCATTTAACTCATAATATATGGAACGACGAAGCCTTACAAAAAACCCCAGAACTCGGAGCGTAATATCCCGTCGATACAGACTATATCCATAAATCAATCACTACCCACAAAAATCAGGATCAAACCCTAAAAACAAAACGATCAATAGATTCCAAGTAAGATCCAGTTCACCACGAACACTATCAGCGAACCAAAGAAATTAGGGTTTAAAGGAAAAAACAAGACTGCATCACAAGAAGTTCAGAGTAGAAATAGAAGCAACACAAGAGTCGAGAAAAAAGAGAGAGATGATAAAGGAATGATTTTTGCGAAGAGGGAAGAAAGATTACACGATAATCACGGGGACGCACGACGGGGAAGAGATCGAGAATGCTGCGAAATTCATGTTCGTCCATAGCTCTTGAGATTTTGGAGGAGACTCGAAATTCTTTTTCTCCTCCGAGTTTTCACTTCTCGCGATCCAAACGGAGACGGTATGTAATGACCTTAATACCCCTACTTTATGGATGTAATACCAGAAGTACCCTGAGTTAACTGGGGAATAATAAAAATATATAATTATTTGATATTCCAATAATTAATAATTATGTTTCGAATCAGGATTCAGGATGGATCTGATTCGAATATGGGCTGTGAAGTGAAGAACCGAACATGTGAAATGTGTTTCATGAAAACATATAAATTTTTATATTGTCATTATAATGATAATCCCAAAAATAATAAAGCTTGGGTTAATTCGAACCCGACAGTGACAAATTCAGCCGAATATATGACCGGACAAACGTAAACCAACTATAAATCGGCCTTAATACACTCCAATTTTGACGAATTTTTAAGCGTGCATATTCTTGTATCTAAAAATTATTTATATTCAAAAGATAAAAGAAAAAAGGCAAATAAACATTAATGCTATTGAATGGTATTTAACACATGAAAGGCATTTATTTTTTTAATATAAATTTTGATTTCTTGCAAGAAATCATATAACTTTAAATCCCTTTTCGACGGTTATTAGACTTTTTATTCAATTTATTGATCTTATAGTTGGAGGACACAAAAGTGAAAGAAAAGGGCAATGCTTAAAATTCAATTAACCTGATTCACTTATAACACAAAAAAAAAAACAGGGGAAAAACAAACAAACAATTCCAACTCACTTTTACACAATGCCAATCACTGAACCAAAAAAGAAAAAGAAAAAATCCGAATTTGATTACAATAAAAACCCAAAAACAATAAATGAGAATCAAATGCACAAAACATAATAATACACGCACTGTATAAAATTCTGAAAACATGACAGGACAGGGGGGTAAATCGGTAATTACAGCATCACTGGTGGTGGTCGGCCGCCTCCTCCTCTTCCTCTTCCTCGTACTCGAGTTCCTCGTCAGCGGTCGCGTCCTGGTACTGTTGGTATTCGGACACGAGATCGTTCATGTTGCTCTCAGCCTCGGTGAACTCCATCTCGTCCATGCCTTCGCCTGTGTACCAATGCAAGAAGGCCTTCCTCCTGAACATGGCCGTGAACTGCTCGCTCACCCTCCTGAACATCTCCTGTATCGACGTCGAGTTCCCTATGAACGTCGACGCCATGGACAGACCTCGGGGCGGGATATCGCACACGCTCGACTTCACGTTGTTCGGGATCCACTCCACGAAGTAGGACGAGTTCTTGTTCTGCACATTGATCATCTGCTCGTCGACCTCTTTAGTGCTCATCTTTCCCCGGAACATTGCCGAGGCCGTGAGGTAACGGCCGTGTCTCGGGTCGGCGGCACACATCATGTTCTTGGCGTCCCACATTTGTTGGGTGAGTTCGGGGACGGTGAGGGCGCGGTATTGCTGGGAACCCCGAGAGGTGAGAGGGGCGAAACCGACCATGAAGAAGTGGAGACGTGGGAATGGGATGAGGTTCACCGCGAGTTTTCGGAGGTCGGAGTTGAGCTGACCCGGGAACCTGAGACAGCATGTGACTCCGCTCATTGTTGCAGAGATGAGATGGTTCAGATCACCGACTGTTTTCACAGTAATCAATCAAACAGTTACAAGACAATCAGAATCATAGTTGTAAAGAGCTAATGGTTCCAAATCAACAAACAGAAAGAATGAGTTCCTGCTTGAAATGATGACCCGAGGCCAACGACGAGAGAGTTTAAATCATGGGACAGACCAATCTGTTGGATCGTATAAACAATTGCATAAAAGAGGGAAGAGTGGACAGACAGACTCACAGCTAGGAGTGGTAAGCTTGAGCGTTCTGAAGCAGATGTCGTAGAGGGCCTCGTTGTCTAGAACCATACATTCATCGGCATTTTCAATCAGCTGATGAACCGAAAGGGTGGCATTGTACGGCTCGACAACTGTGTCGGAGACCTTTGGTGATGGGAAGACGGAGAAAGTGAGCATCATTCTGTCGGGATACTCTTCCCTGATCTTAGAGATGAGCAGAGTTCCCATTCCAGACCCAGTACCTCCACCTAGCGAGTGGCACACTTGGAAACCTGAAAATGACAATAGCACATGAAACCACTAATACACTAAGATCGAAATCTATAGATAAGAACATCCATGTATGTAGCTACTAATTCCTATCTGAAAAAATCTTTCAGGTGTCGAATTCAAGCATCAGATTGCCATCAGTTTGAGTTTCCATCTTTATCAATAATTTGACTTCCGAAGCTATAGTCCTGCTAAAACAACCGATTCAACAATCTTTCGAAGTGATCCTAAATGAAGGACCAAGGTATCGAAAATCTGGCAGTTAGAAAGAGATTATATACCCTGAAGACAGTCACAATTCTCAGCTTCCTTGCGCACAACATCGAGTACCGCATCAATAAGCTCGGCTCCTTCGGTGTAATGCCCCTTGGCCCAGTTATTACCAGCACCAGACTGACCAAACACAAAGTTGTCAGGTCTGAAGATTTGACCATATGGACCGGTTCTCACGCTGTCCATGGTACCAGGCTCAAGATCCATGAGAACAGCACGTGGAACAAATCTACCGCACGATGCCTCGTTGTAGTAGACGTTTACACGCTCCAGCTGGAGATCAGAGCTTCCAGTGTAGCGTCCTGTCGGATCGATCCCATGCTCGTCACAGACAACTTCCCAGAATTTCGAACCGATCTGGTTCCCGCACTGACCACCTTGAACGTGAAGGATTTCTCTCATCTTCTATATCTCTGGAAGTCAAATGTGCAAATAAGAGTCTTAGCCATAGACAAAAAGACAAAACAGACCAAACAGGGTCGACTTCAATTCAAGCTACCCGAAATTCTTATGATGTAATGAAGAGATGATAAGTAAACAAGAACGGTAAAAGAAGGCAGATTAAGAAAGCGATAGATCAAAGGAATCAGAGCTCTCTTCTGCAATTCTGCAGTCAAATTGAGTGTTTAACAAAGGGTAAAATCAAGTTCTCAAGATCCAGGTTTAATATGCTTAATCTATATCAGATCCAAATTATAGAAATTGAGCAACGACAAAAAATAAAAGAGAAAACATTAAAGCTAAACATAAGTTGCAGATTTCAGCAGACGCAAGCACAAAACAGAGCATTTTTCACAATTCAATCACCGATTCTCCCGACACTTCTCCACTACCAAACAACGCATCCTTGTTCAAAAACTCCAGCAAAACACTCAAATGGCACCACACTGAATCGAATTCCAGTTAATAAAAAGATCAATACATATTTTCTCGAAGAAAAAACCGTTCGACAACTATACAAAACAAACTCAAACAACAAAAACCACGATAGATTCAGATTTGGAAGCACAGTAACACCGAAAAACTCAAGTCCAACAGAAACAACATAGAACCCAGCATTCATACTAGCTTATCCTTCCATTTCTCCCTAGATTTCTCGGCAACCAAACAGAAATCAGCACGAAATTACCGCAAACCGACAACTGACCGGGAATCCAAAATAAGAAAATGCAGATTTCCCGGCGAGATTCTGGCGAGCGAGCACGAGAGAAGTGAGAGGTCTCCGAGTGAGTGGGGCGGGGATCTTTTCGCCTGCAGGTGTGGGTTTATATAGTAAGAAGTAAAACGAGGACGAGAGACGATATAGAAAAAGGAAGACTGAGATCGGACGGCTGTGGTTGATTCACTATGGATGGTGAGATTCAACGGTGTAGATGGCGCTGATTTTCAGATGGGGTGCTTCATTTCGATTGTCGGCTATTATCTCGTGAAATTATCGTAATGTGAAAGTACATATCTGACCTTGGGTTGGGGATGTGAGATATTGACAGATTTATAAAAATAAATCATTTGAGGTCTCGACGAATCGGGGGTAATATGGTCGAATCGGGTTTATTGTTGACGGGTACAATTTTGAAATAATAAATTAAAAAAATAATAAAAAAATCCTACTTACTCATTGCATGATTGAGTAACGGGTGGGGCATAAGTGTAAATATAAAACAATAAAGGGGCACAAGCACAAAAAGATAGTTTGTCTGAGCCTTTGGTTGGATCGGATATAGACAAAATGAGGTTAAAAAAAACAAGCTGAGCTGGCACAATCCACATGATCTACACTGTGTTCCATGTGACCTGCCAACAGCTCAAACAAATCTTCTTCTTTTTTCTTCTTTTTTTCCCTAATGTCTTATTTTTGTGAATTTTATTTTATATTATTAAATTGTATTATCTAAGACTATGTTGAGAAAATTAATTGATATTGTGAGTTAAGTTTTTATATTAATCAATTTTTAAACACTAATAATTAATACATTATGTGATATTATGATAAAAAACTAATCAAAACTCTGATATAATAATAAAAAATAATTATTAATATAATGCATATATAGTGAAAAAAATCCAATATGTGTTGACTGCATTATGTAAAAGAAAAAATTTCTCCTCTAACAAAATAGGCAGTGTTATTATATTTGTTGATATGATCACATGAATCCAAAATAAGTTTTTTTTACCATAATTTATAAATTACTATAGGTAAACATTAAATTCTGCAATATAATAGTAAACATTAAATTATGTATGAAAGTTTCGAATTATACATATATGAGACAAATGGATAGTGATAGTGGGGTTAGGCACATCGTTAATTCCAATTTAAGATTTGTAGTTAGCTTAATTTGTAGATTAAGCATGATGGCTTCTAAAGTAATTAGTCCCTTTCTCGTGTTATGATGTTGTAATGCAACCTGCCTGTCTCTCCCACACCAAATATATTAAATTAATATATATATATATATATATATATATATATAAAGATGTTTTATGGAAACAGCTAAATATTAATAAATGTGGGGAATAAAGTGTATTTTCCTTAAAAAATATAAATCAGTACCGTTGGAGGAAAGTGAAATTACTCGACCGTTGGTGGCAAATTTCATGATGAAATTAATCGTAGATGGTGTTGAATATAGTTTTCTTTCCTCTCTTTTTTTTTCAATGCTATATATAATATATTTATCGAAAAATTTAACGATTAAATCGATTATATTAGAGGAAATTATCTAATCAAATAAATAAAAAGAATTACATAAAAAAATTTAAAAAAAAAATATTCACCCTTCTAATTATACCAAGAAATCTTCTTGTATCATTTCTCATTATTTTGAGCTCAAAATCATATGATGTGATAAAGCCCTTTTTGTTTTTGTCCAATTTTTAAATATGGAATTTCCATATAGTGAATGTTTCTATTTCTCGTTATTAATGGGTTTGTTATGAGAGAAATCATGTTTTTGGAGGGCACCCACCAATAATATTTTTTTGTGGCATTCATGCCAAAATAAGAGTTGTTGTGAGCGACCGATTCTGTATATTATATAGCTCAACCATATTGCTCATAATTGACTGGGAAGAATTCTAATGATAATGAGGGCAAGTCTCATAATGATTTGTTTGTATTTGGTTATAGTGTTCATCATTTTTTTGTTTGTTTTAAGTTTTTTTTTATAATTTTTTTGTTTATTTAGATAAACATAATCAGTTGTTAATAACATATTATTCATTTATATAAAAATACATGGAAAACTTGTATTTGTTAAGATGTTTTTTACAAATTATTATTGTAAGGTTTTAATAATATGATTTTATAGAACTTCACTTAAGTTTCCAGTTTTTATTGAAAACTGATCAGTGAGAAATTTAACCCCAAATTTCTCTTTACATTTTGATTTTTTTTTTGTGATGATTGGAAAAAAAAATACTACGAGTTTTAAGATTTTAGTAAAATGATTTTATGATTCAAATAAAATCTCAATTCCTCAATTATGTTTTGCAAAATATTTTTTTTTTGATAGCGTGGATAATCCAACTGTTATCTTTCGAACGCGTTGATTGGGTAAACTTCATTCATGTACACAACTCCATCCATGTAATCGTAATTGGGAGATGACATATAAACGGACAATAAATTGAATTTTCAACCTCTCGATATGTTAACCATACAAAGATTTTTAATTAAAAACTAATTTATAAAAAATTGTATCCATCTTTTGGTTTATGATATAGTCTATACTATCTCAAACTTGAATTTGTATCTATTCGATCCAAAAGATAGATTATAGATTGGATTTCAATATATTAGCTCGAATTCTCTAAAATTGGGAATATAAAAAGATATATAAATTTCTAGAAAAACTTGCACTCTACCAATTTATTTTCCTTACAAGTCCTTAATGTCTTCAGTGTCCGGACGTCTTCAATGTCTCCAAGCACACAAACCATATCTGTAGCGATTTGTATATGTTTTTTTTTTCACAGTTTGACAGCGCATTTTTATTCTATCACATGATTATATAATTTTTTTATATGACAAAATGTGTCATCAATAAGTTTTATTAATTAACTCACACAAGTGTATAATTTTTTATGGGAGTCCAAAAATTGATCATATATAAAGAATATATTTTTTTTGGTCATTAATTATATATAAATTAAAATGCAAATTGGGCTCTTCAATTATAGCAGAAGTCTGACTTCATCATGTGACACACAGACAAGTATTTGATATGTGATCCGTTTTTTTAATTGTTCTGTCCGAAACTTGTAATTTATTTGAAGTTGAAACGACAACGCGAAATGTAGGGAACTAAGCAGTTAGTAACATTGCCGAATGAAATTCTTGTATTTGTGATGTTTTTTATTATTTCAAAGACCACATGGATAGCTATTTGAATTTGTACTTTTGAAGACAGTCCATGTTGATTTTTTTTTTTTTTTTGAAATGGGTATTCGTAATTTTGGAGAAATAAGAATTATAACTCGAATTATCAATTTTGGTTCGGTTCGTTGATGTGTTTTTTTAATGAAAACCGAACCGGATAGAAATAAGTTGATCCATTGCGTATCTTAAGTTTTTGTTTGGTTTGGAAAAAATAAAATAAAAAGTTTTATGACAATTTGCCCCCTTTTGCCACATGAAATTACGCTTTTGGCACTACATTCTCCTCTCAGATTTGACGTCGTCTTGTGGATCCCTTCTCCTCCGATCTCCATTCTCGGTTCAGTAAACCTAAATCGTCATCCATGGCGACGGTGTTTGGTCCACCGAAGAAGAACCTCCTCCCTCTCCTTCTCCTTCTCGTTTCTCTCTCCGTCTTCGCTCTTTTCGTCCTTTTCTCCGAGACCACGCGCTCTGATGCCGAGATCGGAACTGATTTCCGGAGAAATTCCGGGGACGTACCTCCCTTCACATTCCTCGTTAAGGTCCTTACATTCAACCGCCTCCTCTCCCTCTCCCGATGCCTCCGTTCTCTCGCCGCCGCGGACTACAGCGTCGCCGGCGACGCAGGACGCGTTCACCTCCATGTCTATATCGACCATTTCTCACTCGCGCGGAACGATACTTCGGCGGAAGACAACTTGAAGAACGCGAGAGAGATTCTCGAGTTCGTGGATGGGTTTGAGTGGAGATTTGGGAAAAAAGTGGTTCAATATCGGACCGACAACGTTGGATTGCAGGCACAGTGGTTAGAGGCTTGGTGGCCGAGCTCCGATCACGAGTTTGCGTTCGTCGTTGAAGATGATCTGGAGGTTTCCCCTCTCTATTTCAGGTTTCTGGAGAGCGTGATTCGTAATTACTACTACGATGCTTCCAGTTTCAGCCCTTCTATCTATGGAGCTTCGCTTCAACGACCAAGGTTTGTTCCAGGTACCATTTTGCGTTACACTTTTCAGCATTGTCTATTGTAGGAAGTTCTTGAGCTATCTTCGTGAAATTTTCATTTGGAGTCCAGTTTTAATCATAATTTGTGAATATTTTGATTGATTGGCGTTTACCTATCTGGATTGGAATGGAACAAAATGTTGGGTATCAGTGGTTAAGAGTAGACTGATTGAAGGAGAAAGGACAGAAATTTCTCCATTGTTCTTAGGTTTTCGTGTAACTAGGATAATATAGTTTGTTCATAACGTCGTAGTAATAGTTCAATTCGACGAGAAGAACGAAGTGAATGGGAGAGGTATAAAAGTATTGCAATGTAAGGAAGAGGTGGGAGTGTGGTAGTGAGCTTGTGTTTGGAATTTGTAGATTTGTCCTAATGTTGTCACTGACTAATTCAGTTCAGTGGCCGACCACAGGTAAACATGGGAACAAATTGCGTCTAGATCCCGGAACAAAGGTTTTCTTATATCAGTTGGTTGGAACATGGGGACAGCTTCTCTTCCCAAAACCTTGGAAAGAGTTCAGATTATGGTACGATGATCATAAGGCAAAAGGCATCAAGCCAATACTCGATGGCATGGTAACTCATCATTCTTACTTGTGCCAATTCAGTTTCTACTTGTATTTCTTTCCTCTGAAATTCGAAGTGGGGTTCTTCTTAGGTGACAACAGGATGGTACAAGAAGATGGGAGAACGAATATGGACGCCCTGGTTCATAAAGTTTATTCATTCTCGAGGCTATTTTAACATCTACACCAACTTCCAAAATGAGAGAGCATTGAGTGTCTCTCACAGAGATGCTGGTGTTAACTACGGGAAAACAGCGGGGCCAGACTCGGAGTTACTGGATAAAAGTTCTTTCGACTCCAACTTTCTGAAACTGCAACCTCTGAGCAGCCTTAAATGGTACGATTTCTGTTTCAGAGAAGTTGTTCCCAGTCGAGTTGTAAGAAACTTGGATCAACTTGGGACCCTTCTTCCCTCTGTGCAGAGTGAGAAAACCATTCTGCTCGTGAGCCTATATGATGCACAAGAGATGTTGATGAGGAACTTGATCTGCCATTTCGAGAAGCTTGACACTCGAAACCACATCTTTATCGGCCCTAGTTCGGAGTTGCTGTTTGATCTTGCAAGAAGGGGACATCCTGTGATTGATTCCGATCAGTTTCTTGACAACGTTGGAGCATACAATTTGGCGAAAAGTCAAAGTTCCTATCCAAACGCCGTGAAGGAGGCCCTGGGCACGGCGCATGTAGTCAAGAAATGCTTAGAACTGGGATACAGCTCTTGGATATTTACGAGTAAAGCCCTTTTGGTAGACAAAACCGCCCTTCTTGACAGAGTCGGCTCAGAATACGACTTCTACGCAGGGGAAGGTTCCCGAATCTTAGGTGTTCGGCACTCATCTGCCGCTCAGAAGTTATGGACCGACGAATTTCTTCGCACCATTGCAGCGAAGACCCCATCACTGAAAGCGAGTGAAAATTCCATTGTTCTTGTTTCAAAGCTGTTAGAGCAGAAGGGAAAGAAGATAAAGAATATCGATGTCAATAGTGAAGAAGGTAAACCAATGGTTTATTGGTCCCTCGAGGCTGATTCTAATATGATCCGGAAACAGCTCAAAGAGTTGAACTTGTGGCTCATCGATGACGCCGACCTCTCTTGCAAAGCCGTAGTTTGTCATCGATCATCGGGTTAAAGATCAATCTTCACATCTTAACGTTTAAAAATGGAATTAGCATTGTGGTGATGATTGGTGTGAAGCAAGAGGAGACAACTCGTCTTCATCTCAGTGTTGCCCATTGGACAAAAGGTGCAGATCTGTTTTTGTTTTGTTGTAAGAAGCTGAAGCCATATGCTGTTTTGGTTGAAGAACTACTAAAGGCAAACTAGGATATGGTTTCAGGCAAATTAATGGTTGTTACTCTTTCTGATTCATTCATCTGTCCTGTACGTAGCTATTTGTGATCTTTCTTTTTTTTAATATATATTATATATATATCTCACACTACATAATCTATCTTCCATTTGATCTCGTTTCATTACAGGGAATGGAATCCAAAATGTGTTTTATGTAATACAGAAAAAAAGCAAACATTCAAAAAACTCAATTTTTGAAAGAACATTCATTTAAAATTTCATTTATACACAAATTCTTCTAAAAATATAATAATTGTATAAAAAAATTATAACTTTTACTAGTATCATATCTAATTTATTTTGAGAATTTTTTTATAAACGTTTTATGGTTTATTTGAATTAATATTTTATAAATACTTGTTTTTATGCTTTTCTAATATGTGTATATATATATAATATTTATGTAGGGGTGTCAAAACGAGTCCGATTCGCGAGCCGGCTCGTGGCTTGTCAGAAAATATGAGATTTGAGCCATGATTTTTTCAGTTCATTAAAAAACGAGTCTAATGAGTCAGGCTTATTGAACACGTGTTCAATGAGTCTGACTCGGCGAAGTAACGAGCTGCTCAATGAGCTGATTTTTTTAAAATTAAATTTATATAAAAAACTCTAATATAATTTTATATTCCTTTTTTCATATCATTCATATATTCATATGATATTATAAATATCCTAATTATTATGATGATGGTGATAATTGCAAATATTAAATGAAAATTAGAGTATAAATATGAAAATGTTATTAAAATATATTTTGTTGTTATTATCTATTTAAATTATTTTTTATTGAACTATTATTAGATTTTTTTTATCTTTTAAAATCTCAACCAATATCTTTTTATGTACTTCATGATATTAGAGTTCTATTACTTTTTATGTATTTATTTAAATTTATAATTAAATTTAGAATAAATATAAATAAAAAAATATTATATATATTTGGCTCAACGAGTTGGTTCGTTCCGATCGGAAAACTGACGACCGAAATTTTTCTGGATCGTTAAAAAACGAATCTAACGAGCTGAAACCAAAACGAGGCGAGCCAAACGAGCCAAGCCTCAAACGATCCGAGCGCGCTCGTTTGACACGCATATACGTATGTATATATGATTTTTTTATAATATCTAATATGCCTTTATTTTTGGGGGAAAAGATTAAAAGAGTCGGGTTATCAGGTCAATATCAATCCTTTGCGGAACAACCCTCTACGTAGTTCAGCGGGTTCACTTCGACGCAAACCCCAGTTTGGTGACTTTGGTCCCTTTTCCTTGAACTGAAACCTCTCTGTCTCTCTCGTCATTTCGGATTCAAAGAATGGATTTCCAGGTCGTAATTCTCGCCGGCGGCGTCTCTGTGAATCTCGTCCCTTTAGTCTCCAAGGTGTTTTCTCTCTTCTTTCGCTGATTTTCCTTTCTTTCCGTTTCCCTCATTTTCTCACCAACAAACATCGTCTTTCTTTATCTAATCTCGTTCTCTTTTCTCCCGTTTTAGGATGTTCCTATGGCGCTGCTTCCGGTGGCTAATCGTCCCGTGCTCTCTTACGTTCTGGAGCTGCTCGAGAGCAGTAATCTCAAGGACCTGATCGTCGTACGCTATTTTTTTTCGTTTCATTCGAGGTTTGGTCTGCGAATTAGGTTGGATGTTTCTGCTTAGTTTGGAGTTTGACTGCATTGTTGGTTCAGGTTGTCGAAGGAGAAGATGCCGCTCTTAAAGTTGGCGGCTGGATCTCATCTGCGTATGTTGATCGTCTACACGTTGAGGTGTTCTCTTTTCTCCTTAAATTTGTGCTCTTTGCGGATGTGATGTTTCAATTGAATTGTTGCAAAGCTGAAAAGAGATGATTCAAAAGCAAATTCCTTTTTTTTTTCAATTCATTTAGAAGTGGAAGTCGTTGCTTGATTCAGAGGGTACTACCCTTCACAATGCAAAACTCTCTTCAGTGATACTATGAAAGAATTGATCGCTATAACCATTTGTAGTCGTCAGCTCTCTATTATCGAGGATTTTTCATCTGTTTCAAGAATTTGAATAAACCCGGTTCAGTATCTCAAGGGCGTGTGTTACATAGTATATAGCTTCTCCATTGCAAGCTTTCTTGACAATTCCTGCAGGGTTACTTTAGAAGTGAGGATAGAGTAAGAGTGTGGAGCAAATTGCTGGAATCATTGTATCAATCGGTCTGTCATGAATACGTTTAGTGCAATGCAATTATGTAAACTTAAAGTCTAAAGAGCCCAATTCTGAACCGGTTTTAGGAAAGCCAAACTCTTAGGCGCCCAGACAGAACTAGCTGTAAATGAAAGATAAGAATGTGATATTCAGTTTCCATTAGTATTTAAGCTCTTCCTAGGATGTAAACTTCTCGTTGAATTGTCCGGCTTATAGACAGAGGAAGTCAAAGTACAGGCACTTAATGATTTTCTTCTGATTGTAGTCACTTGGAGTTAAAGCGGTGTGGTATGCGAGATTATATGCATAACTGAAAGAGTCTACTTATACTTTTTGTTTGATCGAGTATTGAGCTTGGCCTGCCTTCTGTGATAGATAACTTCCTTTCCTTTTCACGAATTTCCTCATTCTTGTTTGAACTGTGGGTTATGGACTTCACTAGCAGAAAAGTTATCTCATTTGCTTCTCAAATTTCTGTCTATCTTATTTAATGGACATTAGGTTGCTGCTGTTCCTGAGGATGTTGGAACCGCTGGAGCACTTCGGGCAATTGCGCACCACTTGACTGCAAAAGACATTTTGGTTAGCCTTCACAAAACCATATTTAGCCTTTGCATGGTGCCTTTTCTCAGTTTCTAGTCTAACTGGTAATTTGTCTTGATGCAGATTTTGAGTGGAGATATTGTTTCTGATATTTCTCCTGGTGCTGTGGCAGCCACTCATAGACGACATGATGCAGTAGTAACCGCGATGCTTTGTGCTGCGCCTGTCAGTGGCCCATCAGAGTCTGGAGCTGCTGGCGGGAAAGATAAAAACAAAAAACCCGCTCGCTATGATATTACTGGACTTGATCCCTCTAAACAGTTCTTGTTATACATAGCCACAGGTTCTGACCACGGCCTTTTCTTTTGTTTCTTAGAGACGGCTAGCTACTGATTTCCATATTTTCTTACCTTCCAATATTTTTTGGTAGGCGCTGAGATTGAGAAAGATACCCGTGTACAAAAGAGCATTCTCCGTGCAGCAGGGAAGGTATGTTCTCTATTGTTAAGCTCTTTAAATAACCTTACGTGATAATAGGTTTTTGGTCAAGGAATATTTAACTATCAGAAAAATTCGGTACAGCCTCTTATTCTCTTCCCATTTTCAATCTAGATGGAAATCCGAGCTGATCTCATGGATGCCCATGTATATGCCTTCAAGAGGTTGGTCATTTTTGCTTTCCTGCTACCAAGTTAGTATCGTCTATGATATTCATCATTTCCTTTCATAATGCATCTTCCAGATCAGTCCTACAGGAAGTCTTGGACCAAAAGCCTGCTTTTCGGAGCCTGAAACAGGATGTACTCCCATATCTTGTTCGGACCCAGCTGGTTAGTTAGTTGAATGAGGACTAAATAGGCTATATTCAAGGTTACTTGATATTATGCCAGTTTGGTGACCTTTTTATGTTTGTGGTTTTCTCCTTTTCTTTTGTATCAGAGATCAGAGGTCTTGAGTGATACAAATGTTGAAGAAAACGGGAACGGGAAGAATAACTCTCAGAACAACCAAGTGATTTTGTCTCAAATTCTGTCAAACGCTTCCTCGCCAAGCTTCCATCAAGTTTATGCATCAAGTCTGAATGGGTTAGATACTGCTCAGAAAACCCATAAATGTTGTGTTTATATTGCAGATGAAAGCAAGTATTGTGTACTCTTGAATTCAATTCAAGCCTTCATGGACGTAAATAGAGATGTAAGTCGTCATACTCGTAAAAATGCATCCCTCGCACAAATTTTTTGTTGTAGTTTCCCATCACTTGATTCTCTCGGCTCTTCTTGGTTAACTACTTTCCAGGTCATTGGTGAGGTGAACCACCTATCTGGATACTCTTTTTCTGCTCATAACAACATTATCCACCCATCAGCCGAGCTTGGGTCAAAAACAACAGTAAGACCTCTCTGTTAAGAATATTTTTAGAAGACCGAAATTTGTCTCGTGATCATCCAACACCTCCTGTGGCTGTAGGTTGGGCCCCACTGTATGCTGGGAGAAGGCTCACAGATGGGCGATAAGTGCAGCGTCAAAAGATCTGTAATTGGTAGGCACTGCAGGATAGGCTCCAATGTAAAGGTACAATGATTAACTCATTACCCAACGTAGCAAGTAATGAAAACAATAGGTCATAAACATAACCCTGATACCTCGGATGTATCTTTAGGTGGTGAATTCCGTCATAATGGACCATGTCACAATCGGAGATGGATGTTCAATACAAGGATCGGTTGTATGCAGCAATGGACAGCTTCAGGAGCGTGTTGTATTAAGAGACTGCCAAGTAAGTCCTGTCTCTCACTTTTAATGTAGACAAAAACACGAGCATGGTAGTAAAATGCATTCATGGGGCTAAGATTCGTATGGCCATCACAACATATGATTTACGGATAGAGAAACACACAAAAATAAGCATTTGGTTCACCTTACAGGTTGGAGCAGGCTATGTGGTTTCCACCAGTAGTGAGCACAAGGGAGAGACGTTAGCGAGGAAATAGAGAACGAGGAAGGTACGCCATCCCCCTCGACCCCTTTTGTTTACCGCCATGCTCATTGGAAAATATTTTCAAGTTACAGTTTCTTGTTTTGTGTGTTTGATAGAGGGCTTCCTTCTTCTCCTTTCAATTCGAATGACATTAGATTCGATCTGAATGCTATTCGTTTACACTTTCAGACAGATTCTTTTTCGGACGAAGAGGGGAGACAATGTGCTACGAAGGTATGATGGATGATATTGGGGCTAATACGGGACAACAACAAAGGTTTGGTCTTTAGGTAGGAATTGCGCAATGCGTGGATATTGAGTTTTGTCATTTTATAAACCTTTACGTGAATCACTGTTTGTTTGTGTGATGACGAGAAGAACATGAACGTGAGCATGAACATCATCATCATCCAACCTAAAGAGTTTTATTACAGAACATGAACATAAACATGGCAATTGCACAGACGAGAATTCACGCGTGTATATGTGCCTGTGCGTGTGTATTATAACAATAACCTATTTGATCTTGGCGAAGTCAATGGTCTTCTTTCCGTCATGACCTTTGCTGAAGAAGTAGCTGAAGTAATCTGAAAACACAATCTCCCTGTAAACGGCTGCCTCTCCGGTCATAGCCACCGCCTCCGGCAATGGCTTGATCGCAGCATCTTCCCGAGGGTTCACAAAAATCGGAACTGAAACCCTGTTTCTGGCTCCACTCGCCACAACCCTATGCTCGATGCTCTTGTACAGATCATTGCTCATCATCTGCAGAACATCTCCTACGTTTATCACCAGAGCTCCTCTTGTCGGCGCTACGTGTATCCACCTGTCGTCCTCCTCCTGCTCATTCGCTCGCACGTAAAGTCCGCCCACATCGTCCTGGAGAAGGACAGTGATCGCTGAGATGTCGGAATGGCGGCCGACTCCGGCGGCGAGGTCTGGGTTTGGGCATTTGGGGTAGTGGTTGAAGCTGATTTTGAAGGATCCCATCAGAGAATTCGACAGTGATTCGTCAATCTCATTCACGTTCAGATTCTTCATGAGAATGGCGAGTAAGTTCTTGATGACTGGTTGTGCGCTCTTCATGTATTCCATCACCTGATCCCTACATACCCAAATTTCGAAGACTGAATCATTTCCATTGTAGAATTCTCAAATGAAGCTCCGAACCCTAGATTTTGAATCGAGTTCGATCGAATTAGAAGAAGAGTTCGCCGAAATCGCACTTGCACACCGAAGGCCATAGAGAAGAAGCTTCGTCATTCTCAGGATCATAGCTGAACATCAGATAATCCTTCCACTCCAACACCGCCTCCGCCATTGGACTGAAGCTCGTCTGCAGGAACACAGTCTCCGCCGCCGGATTTCCCTTCCAGAACCTCCTCCGCTCCTCCGACGGCAGCGCGTAGAAGGCACGCGCAGCCGCCGTCACGGCGTCCATCGTCTCCATAGGAATCCCGTGGTTCACGACCTGGAAGAACCCGAAGCGGCTGGCGGCGTCGCAGATCTGAGAGGCCACGCGCGCGTCGGACCAGTCGCCGACGTCGAAGATGGGGATTTGGTCGGTGCAGAGGATTTTGCCGGGGAGGAGACGCTCCTCCGGCGGAAGGATGTAAGGAGGAGGAAGGGTTTGGAGGGGGAAATCGTTGGATAGTCCAGTGACGCCGTTCTGCTTGGAGACGACGAAGTCGATGACATCCATTGATGGATTCGGCATGGAAATGGAAGCTTTGAGCTTTCGAAGACTGATCACACACTTAGTCCACTGGCAACGGAGTGCAATCAGGTGTAGTGTCACTGTGACTGTCAGCTTTTAGGTTATATGAGGATATAAGAGATATAAAGAAATAATCCCAAATAAAATTATCAAAATCTTTTTTTTTATATTATCAAATTTCAATATTTTTAATGTATTAAATTTCTATTTAAAATTTTAAAGTATAAATATTAATTTTTAAAATATAAAAATTATATATATATGAAAGTAACTGTGTTGTGTGACTTGTGTCATTAACTAGTTTCTGTTACAATTTCTAAGATCTTACCAAAGTGCATATTTCTGTTACAGATGTGGTAACTTTCCAGTGAAGAAAACATTTTCTTTTTTGACCTATAGTTGTCGTGTGAAGTTGTCTACTAATTCAGAAAGGATAACGTAGCCGGCGCCTCCCATCACGAGCGAAAGGGTGAGCTTTCCACCAGGGACGAGTTCCGGCATCCTTATCGATGAGCCCGAGTACCTATCCGACCACGCCATTGCTGCCGGCAGAATCCCAAACAGCACCAAAACTGCCCCGAAAAACCAAAACAAACACAATGGTCAGTTCATGTTTTCCGGTTTATGACCTTTTTCTTCTTCTTTACTGTGCAACTCCATCAGGTGAATCCAGAAGATGGGTTTGGAGTTTGCTCATACCTCCATAGGTTCCAGCAAAATCCAAAGCTTTGAAGAAGATTTCCGGGTCCAATAGGGACAGCACAAGAGGCGGAACCAGCGTTAGGATGTATGGAAGAGGCTTGTTCTGACCGACCGGGAGTTTCAGTACTGGAAAAAAATTGCAGAAAGTGAAGAGAACTGTTTGGTCTTTAAGGCTGTAGATACGGAAATTCCAGATTTTTTATGGATACTCACGGTCGGAGAGGAAATCCGAGAGGCCTAAGACGAATCCAATGTATGAAGTTGCTATTGCAAGAAGAGAAAATGCTTCAACTATTGGCTGCAGGTTTTGAAAGACGCAAAAGCTTTTCTTTCAGCTTGTTGGTTTGAAGAGATTTGAGGAATATCTGGCGAGGAAAAGATGAGAACTTACACCCACAAGCCCATTGCTCGATCTCAGCTGCTCGAGAGGATCGATCATCTTCTCGCCCACTGCAGAATCCATGATTGATCCGAGAATTACGCCGTTCCACACGAGAAACAGGCCAAGAGGTATGGCTGTGCCAAGAATAATCGCGGTTCTGACAACAGATGCGGTCAAGATATTCAGAAAGACGGGCGTGGCGAGAAAATTTTACCATTCTGATCAAAGACGTCGAGAGTAATCCACGGGATGTCACCTTACTTTCGACAGGTCTCCTTCAAGATTCGTGCAAAGAACAGGCACCACATTCTGCGGAACATCCACAAGAAACAAGACCAAGATCAAAAACATGTCTGGTTCTTGATCCAAGAAAGTGTCTGATCGGGAAGATCCAATTACCTGGTAGACGAACGAGAGGGCGACAATGGGTATACTCATGGGAACAGCTTCAAAGTTAGCCTTGAGAAGAGCCTCCCAGTGCAAGCCTCCGCTCGCTACTGCCTAACAGGACGGTCAGTAACATTCTCTTCTTCCCGGAATTGACGAGTTCAGAAGAAAGCATTGAACGAGAGAATATTACCACGAGTGCCGCGAATGAAGTGACTATCCCAATCACCAGAACTCCATTGGCTGCACCGATGAATCGCTGGCTGCAACGGTAATGAGAAAAACAGTTGAGGTTTGGTTTTAGTATTGAGCTGAAGACGATATGGAAGATTGGAAGAAAACCTTACCTTCCGAAGAAGCAAATGCCTCCTAAAACCAACGAGAAGAGAGTTGCACTCTCCCACCTGCAAATTCTCTCAGACAATACAGTTTACTTCAAGAACACATACACACATGTAACCGAAAAGCATTCTGGATTCAGGATTAAGGATTCATACGTGGGGATGCCGAGAAAGTTTGTGAGGATGTCAGAAGATCGAGCAATATACGCAACTAGAAGCGCGTAATGAATGAAAATGTACGACCAACTGATCAATGCAGAAAGATTGTTATTACAAGTGAAAATCAAAGGAGATAAATTCAGTGAATGAGATCATTTGTTCATGGTTAAAGAGCTATTATTACCAAGCGACTTGAACTCCGGCCGAGCCAAGAGTCCTCTTCGCCATTGACACCTGTAAGGAACCTTCCAGAGATTTATATCACATATCCGTGTTTCGGGTAGAAATTTCAGAATAAAGGGTCTACGAGATTATCACCAGAGATACCCCTCCAGAACCCAACTCACACATGGTGTTCACATTCACTTCAGCAACAAGCAGACCTGTTACAACCTGTCGGGAAAGTCAAAGGACAGGTTTTAAAGTCAACTTTAGATCAAGGAAACAAGGAGAAAAAACAAGATGGTCTTAGGTTGCAAGCAGTGGAATCCATCACCATGAAAACCCAGCAAAGAATGCAAGCGACAGCAGAAGCCAGAAATCCAGATTCTTGTGTTACTGCAGGAATCGCGAGTATTCCCGCACCTACCTACACAGAGATTTCAGTGGGAAATGGCTTCAATTAGACAAGATTCTAATCTTTTCAGGTGTCTCTTCTCTTTCTTGCTTAACAAGAATCCTTGAAGCATGAACAAAAGACTCACAGTAGTGCCGGCAACCAAGAAAATTGCACTGGACAAGCTTCCTGAAAGAGAAAAAGACTCAAACTTTAGCAAAAAATTAAAGATATTATATGAAGCCCAGAAGAAGAATCTGGACCACAAATTGTTCTGATTGATTATTATGAAAACCTGCTCCCGAGGTTGTATATAGGCTAGAGAACTCAATCCATGGATCGCAAGCTATTGACGCACTTGTTACAGAAACATTGATGAAGCTAAAGAACGAAAGAAGCTTAAATACCTGGTTCTCGTTTCAGTGTTGCTTGGTTAAGATTAGAGAAAAGCCTCTCGAACTCGACCAGCTCGCCTTTTTCTTCTTCTTGTTCCACTACTTCTTGTCTTTCTATAGTTTCATCAGATACTTTCTGAGACAAACACTTGAAGAATCTTGGGTTTCGGTTATTCTGAAATGGGTTTGGTGTAAATCTTAATCTGGATGAATAAAAAAGGGGCCTTTGGAGATGCTGAGGAAGAACTCTATTGAAATTTAGGGTTCTTGACGAAACGGAAGCTTTGGGGAATCGAAGACAAGGGTTGGTCAGAGACACAGACATCGTCTCTTTTTTTCTCTTTCGTTTCTGCGATGTCTGAGATCAGTCTTGTGGTTTCTGTGAGTGAAACGACAGAACAAAGCTTCGCTTCCAGATAAAATGTGTGGCCTTCATCTGTTTACGTCAATTTAAAAAAAAAACATTGTTATACAATTTCTCCAGCAAATAGTCATAAGAATAAAGTACTCATTTCCAAATTTAAAAAGGCATAAAAATCGGTTAAGCTTCATTTTCCGACATCTGTATTCAGCTTCTTTAGCAGTTATTTCTACAAGCCTTGTTATCGCTTATTCAATCACTGTTTCCGTAATATATATTCATAACTATACTACTAGAAAATGAAATCACATTCACATATATATATAAGGGAAATGGAGAATACAGCAAAGAAGAAACATTTAAAAGAAAGGTGATACAACACAAGACAGAACCCACCACCAAACTCTCCCAGTTTTACATCAAAGCGAAGGAGAAGAAACAAACTGTCTAGACAAGCTAAACAGGTCCTTACCCTCGAACGGTGATGTCCAATCCCTGGCATTCTTCCCCCTTTGTATTTCACCTCCGGAGCCTATCCCTACCTCCTGCATTCCTACAATTCCCATCCCATTCCACCCATCCGATCTCATTCTATTCCACGGTCTATCGATGTACCTGTCGGTATTATGATTATATGCGGACGTTCTGGAACTCGGGAACTGTCTGTCTGGTCTTGGGAAAGATGGGCTTTTGTCCAGGCTCCAGTCGATGTTGGTGTAATCTAGCTGTCCCATTGAGTCGCCGGTGTTCCAGTCAAGTGAGGAATGAGATGATCCTGAGGTGGGTGCGGGTCCGAACCCTGAGAATAGTCCAAGGGAAGCAGCTGCAGCCACAGCTGGTGCTGTGGTGGCCATAGCCCCACTTCGGTGACCATTCATTTGGCCCTGATATTGAAGTTGTGGGTAAGTCGGGTTTGAGCTCAGATCCATAGGAATGAGACTTCTGGTGGCAGTGATGTCGGGAACAAATCCGTTAGATTGAGGCACCTCAGTTCTGCTCAAAGGGTACCAACCATTGGCTGTCCCAGGGAAGGACGAACTCATGGCCAAGACAGGTATCGGGTTTGTATCAGCAACAAATCGAGAATGTTGCTGCATGGCCATTACTGGTTCCCTGACGTCTTGCTGCTGAAGTTTCTTGAATTGATTCCCTAGAGCCATGTAATGGGCTTCTGGCTTTGGTGCTGCAGCTGATGGTTGATGATACGACATGGGACTCGACCAGTTTTTCTCTCCCATGACTGCAGCTTGAAATTTCATCCACTCCAACTTCATTTGAATTATATCCAACGGATGATCCGAACTTTGATTTACAGATTCCGGGACTCCTCCAGCAAACAAACTGGATCGTCTCAAGTACTCGAAATCCTTCCTTTCTCGAGTTTCTTGGCCTGCAGGGTACAAACCTGCTCTCAGAGGCAATTGTGATACGGTGTTCTGACTTGCGGGATGTGTGGTTAGTTTGTCACTGCTAGAAGCAGGATTATCACTAGTCTCTTCGGGTTTTTTATTACAAGTAGATTGCTCTTGCTTCTGTCTTCTTAATGTTTCTTCTGCCTTCTCAATGTCACCCTCTGCTGCAACCACAGCTCTTTCTACCTCTTGCTTGGTGCACCTGTACCGAGTTTCCAATTCCAAGATCCGATCTAACTCTTCTGATATATCAATATTCAAATTTCTAGGAGCAGATTCTGTTTTCTGTTCTGCATGTTTAGTCCCTCCATCTTGATCAAACAGCCAATTAATGGATTCCTCTATTTTCCCCACGTTTAACATAAGAGCCAATGTTGCCCGTTCTTGAGAAATCCCCATTGCTACAAGCTGCTGCGAAAGGACTTCAAGTTTTCTTGACATCAGATACTGCCTACATCGCTCGTGTAACTCCTGTGCTCGCTTTTCCTTTTGGCGTTGATGTTTTCTTTCATTCTTCAGCCGGATCTTTTCACGCTTGTCATTGTCTGCTCCTGGTATTGTTTCTTTCTGGATAGGAGGATTTGATGCTTTCTCCTTGTGATCTTCCGAGTCACCTGACCAGCTACCATTATTAGAAACAGAATCACAGTCAACTCCAGTAGAATCTGACTCATCGATGTTTCTAAAACGGCCACTATTGTGAAGAAATGAGGAACCAGTTGTTGGGAATGTTTCAATGCTTTGGAATGTCCCCAAAAGGTCATTGTAAGCTCCAGACAGTATGCCAGTTTCTGTACTCATGGATCCTGAACCCTCCATAGGTGTCTTTTTCAAATCATTCACAGCCTTCATGTCCTTGGATCTAGACTTGGATGATGGAGACATCTTCAGAACAAATGAAGAACGATATAATCAACGCCGTGTTTCAAATGAAGAACACTATAACATTCACAAGAATTCAATGCAGCCTATCCCACAAAAGGAGAATATCTCGTAAGAAAAGCTACATTTTCAACAACAAATTCAGACATTGTTAAGTTCAACAAGAGACAAGACGGTCTAACACAGAGAAACAGCAAACTTTATGCAAAAGCATGGTCTTAGTGTTGTTTGGACATAAACTATAGACATCAGAGTTACAGTATATACACATAAACTTATTACAAGAAAACCATCGGTTAATACCAAATATCACAAGCTCCAAGATCCATTATTGAGTTTAAAGCTTTACCAAATGGATCTGAAAACTCAAGAGAAAAATTGTATCAGAAACCAAAAAGATTTTTTCAGACGAAAAACTTCTGATCTAATTTAACACTCCTTATGTTGCCATAAACAGATTATTGGAAATGGTACTTTCTTTCAGCCGTACGTTTCGGAGGGACATTAAAGATTTGACCGAACCAAGAATTTGTAAATCAAATGCAGATATCTGCAAAATGAATCAAGAACATCCCCAGAAACAATTCCCTAACCATATATACTAATCTGCAAAATGATTCAAGAACATCTCAAGAAACATTTGCCTAATCAAATAAACAAATCCAATTTCCAAAAAAATCTGAAAAATAATTCAAGAACATCCTCGGAAACATTTTCGAAACCACATATAGTCAAAGAACAAATCAACGCAGCATTTTCAAAGCAGATGAAGATCTGGGCAATAAAAATAACCGATAAGAAAAGATGAAAAACATCATTTTTTGAAGAAACGATTCGATGAAGAATCCAAATCCGTAGTGCAGGTCAGTAATCGAAACGGAAAGAGAGAGAGAGAGAGAGAGAGAGAGATGACCTCGCTGGCGGGTGACGTACACGAAGAGAAAGAAGACGACGGAGATATGGCAGTTCCGACGGCAAGATCTGGACAGATAGTAGATCTGAGAAAGCCGGTGAAGAAGCAAAAGAGAGAACGACCAAAATGAGAGAGATCTCTTAGACGTTTCGAGGCCCCAAGATCGAATCCCAATTGAATTGAAATTAGGGTTTGGTTGGGACTGCCCTACAATACCGACAAAGAAAATTAGGTGAAAAAAAGAAAAGCTTTTTTCTGCACTAGAAAATAAATATTTTCTCCCATAAAAAAAATCAAAGTTTAACTTAAAAAATGTTAGACAAGTTGCCGATAAAAAAACAAAATTTATTGTTGTTGACTCACAAATTTTTCTTTCGGTGAAAAAAAAAACAAAATTTTCTTTCTTGTTTTAAAACAAATGCGACTTATAAATAATCTAACATTTCTGTTAAATAAACTAATCATATATCATATGTATATATGGAAAGTGTAGTTGTTATTTATCTTACGACAATTTCAATCTATGTTTTTTCTGTTTCATATTTTATTACATTATAATCTATGTAATGGGTGTTTATTTTTAAAAATAAACCATCTAAATACAAAAAAAAATAGGTATATTTGTCTCACTTGCTATTTATATTCGGACGTATTTTCATGAAAAAAATCAAATATAGATATTTTTTTGGTTATATTTTAAAATCAAATATAGATATTTCTCTGAGTTCTGTGCCATTGGTCGGGAAGAGTCTTTGCGCTGCAGGCTTCTTGGAGGCCCCTGCGGTTAGGAGGTCATGTCTAGTATCTGCTATGTATGTATGTATGTATGTATGTATGTATGTATGTATGTATGTATGTATGTATGTATGTATGTATGTATGTATGTATGTATGTATGTATGTATGTATGTATGTATGTATGTATGTATGTATGTATGTATGTATGTATGTATGTATGTATGTATGTATGTATGTATGTATGTATGTATGTATGTATGTATGTATGTATGTATGTATGTGCTAGCGTCCCAAATACAATATTTTTTTGGTTAAATGTGATTGTAACCCAAATACAATATTTTTTTTTGTTAAAACTAACCCAAATACAATATTGTAGCGTTGATTCGGTCAAAATTAACATAATCTTGATTCTTGTACCTAAAAAATTTCAATTACAATTCGACAATTGTTATATTTTACGTATTTCATTAAAATCACGCTGTTTTCAAATCAGTAAAAAGAAACTGAAACGTTGTGCCATTCATAATTTATCTATTATTATTATTATTATTATTATTATTATTATTATTATTATTATTATTATTATTATTATTATTATTATTATTATTATTACACTAGAAAAAAAAATTGTATCCATCTGGTTTTATACAAGGGAAGACCGGGAAGTGCAAAGATGAAAGTCACGTGAGGGTGTCTCGTATATTCGAATCCATGTATAAACTGGTTATAGAAAAGGAATGTAAAGTCACGTGAGGATCGTCCCCTTGCCCTTAGTTTCAAAATCTCGAATGATGACCGTTGCGTGAGCTCTAAGTCGGTTGCAGCGCGTAGATTTTACCGCCACGACGCATCCGAAGATTCAAAATATGACCGTTTGAGCTCTCTCTCGATACTTAACAATCCCTCCTCTCATAGAGAAAAGGAAACACCCAAAACTTGAATCTCTCTCTCTCTCTCTCTCTGCTCCCATCTCTCTCTCTCTGCGATTTCTTCGTTTCTCTGCAAATTGCTAAAAGGGTTGTCTGATTTGCTGGAATCGCCATGAATTCTCAAGACACTTACTACGACTGCTTAATCACATCGAGCGCACTCCCACCTTGGCTGCCTCTGAGGAACGACGTCTTCATCGTCTTCCATTTCGAGACTCGCGAATTCATCCAAGATCCCAGCGGTGTCCGAACCTTAATCTGGTACCGCAAATATCCTCCGACAGTTCCCATCGTCTTGGATCTGAGAAGCCCCGCTCCTCGCCACATCTTACAGCTCCTCCGTCCCCGTATCCACGATCCTTTCTTGTGCCAGCAATTAGCCACTGATATCGCTGATTCCGCAAATCGCATGGGTTTCGGACGTCAAGGTATCACAATGGTCGTAAACGTGAAACTGATCAACGACACGATCTTTCTTGTGTCGGGTTCTTCTCCTTCGAGAGGAGCATCGGAAGCTCTATTGCAGAGATTGGTGGAAGAACAGAGTTTCGATTCTGCCGAGAAATTGGAGAACTCCTCGAATATGGAATCGGAGGCTTGCGCGATCTGTCTGGAGAACTTGTTGGGTTCGGAGGGTGCTCTTGTGCAAATGCCGTCTTGTCCTCATTTTTTCCACCGAGAATGTCTTGTGGAGTGGCTCAAGCGTACGAACTCTTGCCCGTTGTGTCGGAGCGTGCCGTACGAGTACGATGAATCACAGTAAAAAGACATACCAAGAAACAGGGTTAGGGTTTTGTCCTTCGATTTTTTCCCCAAATCTGAATATGGGTTTTGGCCAGAAACTCTTGGGTTTATAGAATCCGAACCATGGAAGATTTTAGGGTTTTTGTCTACTGTTAGGGTTTAGGGATGACGATGAAACAAATGCATAGAGTGCTTAGGGTTTTGTCCTTTTTCTGAGTTTGAAATTAGGGTTTTGTTTTTCGATTGTATGATCTGACGGGAGATCTCTCGATTTGTAAATTCTTTTCTCAAAGCATACGAAGTTTGGCTTCCTATCTCGGATTCATACATAGAAAAACCCGAATTTCAGTTTTGTTCTTCCTTAACGTTTTTGTCTGATTTGGTAAATGGCAGACGACGAAGTGATAGCAACTCAGAAATTTCAAGCACATTTCACTCAGTAAGAAATATGTATGAGGTTACCATCAGAGATGTCTTCGCTATGATCTCTACTGAGAATTCTAATCACATCCAAAAAGAAATTTATTTTGGTTTTAATTCCTATAACTTTTATGGAATAAAATCAATCCAAACCAAACCGAATATAAGAAAGCTAATCAAACGAAAGTTCTTTAATTTTAATCCGAATATTTTTTTAATGAAACCGAATTGGATCGAAACCGAAATGTCTACACTCGACGCTGTGTTAGATGTTCAATTCATTATCACCATATGGCCCAGACAATGCATCTGAATTGTCATCTGTTGCACCATCTGTCTACAAGTTCTCAAGTCAAGTCTTGAAGGTAACAATAACTTGTTGATCCAAAGATCAACAACGACAAACCAGTTCTTGTGGACTGAACATTACTGCAGCACCCTAAGAGGCTCAATAGAGGGAGAAGATTTGGTTTATGGGTTCCCATTCACTGATGTTTCGCCCGTCCAAAACCTGGTAGTCATCCTGAAAACGCGAGATATTTCAGCTGGATGAGAAGATGGTTAACGAAAGTAGAAGAGTTAAAAGTCGAGATCAACAGTTTCAAAATGTTATTACCATGTAATTTTCACGGATTAAGCAACTAAGATGTGTACCTTCGCGAGGAAAAAGCTGCCATTATGCAACACAAAAGCTCCAATTCGAGACAACAAAACTCCAATGCCAAGTAGCATTTCAGGAAGATTGGGTATATATAAGTTGAATCTTTGACGAAGAAGAAGAGACGAGAAGCACGAGAACGCTTTGCCGCTTTAGTGGAGGAACGCTACTGCATCGCTGCGAGCTTATACGAGGTTTGCAATCACGAGTTTCCCAACTCGACCAGCTCTTGCTTCAAACTGTTATATGCACATAAGTTAGTCCATACACAAACCGAAAATACACTTTCATTTATCTCCTACTAGGCTTCAGATCATGTCACCAACATCAACTTTAGAAAATGTACAATATAAGTTTTTTTATTTGGATAAATAGAAGTGGTTAGGAACTTTATATACAAGCTGTTCTACACAAAGAAAATGATATTGTCTGTGATGGTGAAAACAATATATGCCAGTGGAAGACTCATGAGTTTTTTAAAGATCACTTTCTTATAGAAACTTTATGTTTTATGGGTCTCTCAATGATTCTAGTTTAGGTTTTACCAAGAGAGAAAAGACTACTCGCTCCTCTAGCATGCCTCTCAACAACCAAGTATAGGCGATCGAGATTTATTACCACAACCCAAACATGTTGTCTGCATCGTATTCCTGTAGCAGAATCAAAAGAGGGTCAAAATGTTTAGACAAAGAATTTATCAAGTCAACAGAAACACTAAATTTGACAACTTACACATCTTTGTTCGATGTAGTTTTCGTGCTGCATGATTTTTTTTCGATCTCAACAACAAGTTCTCCCGTGGAGAAAGCAATTCTTCTTCTTCCTTCTGCTCATCGATCTGATAAGCCTCCGGACAGTTTGACTTACACTAGGAGACGTAGAGAAAGCTCGGTGCGCCGAACAAAACCTTTTCCGCGTATGTTGGGAGTTTGTTTGAGAGTGTGCCATAGGTGATAGTGCAGGACTTTCCCCTTGAAAGAAGAGGGAGGCAAATCTTTAATGCAAGATCACTCTGATTATAAGGAGTGAGGAGCAAGTTCTTCAACCATGTCACCTGAAGGAAAAGCATAATGGCATCAGAAACAAGAAGTCGGACCAGAATACGCCCCAGCAACTCGAAGGATCAGGAGATCACTAGCGTAGACTAGGGACACTGGAATTCAGTCTCGCATGCCTTACTATCAGATAGGACCCTCGTTTTCTAGCGCATACGAACATGGTATGAGCATTTCAACTCAGTGTGTCAGAAATGCTAAATGTTACGATCTACAATGCATGTTCAGCTTACCACAATAAGGAAAAGAGCATTCATCTGTCTAGGCAGATGGCTTCGAGTTTAGGCTCTGAAATGATGGAGATTATCATGTCGGATGAAGAGGAGTTGATGCAAATACGAGAGACGTGCAGAGAGAAAAACGACCCATCAGAGTGTTTGGAGTGCCCTGAGATGGAACCCGAGAGGAGATTATAAATGGGTAAGGCCAGAATATCGAATCTATTCATTAACACATGGGTCTAAGAGCAAACCAATTCGCTTCTTAGGTCACCTAAATGGTTTTATGATCCATTTCATCTATTTGTACAGACAGGAAGACATCTATAGCTCCGTGTTTGCACCAGGGAAAAGGAGAAATTTTCACAGATATGAAGGAAAGGCATTTTCCAGAATGTGAATCAGAACAAGAAGGACAAACTCGATAAAACGGTAAGGCATTCACCGGTCCAATTTCTACACAATGATGCTTAGTCATTATCTGAGAATTGTATCCAGATTTCAAATATCGCTAGCATTGTATCCTGTCTGAGAATTCACATTCAGCAGTAAACCGATCCATTGGATGCAATTTTGCTCACAATAGTCCATCACACGGACAATCTAAGGATTTGTTCGCAGGCAAATTTGAATCTATCACCAATCCTCAAAATCGATTAGGACAAATGCAACAATGATCGGAAAATCGAACAAAACCGAGTGGGGTCCAAATAGGAACAGTACCTGAACGAGCCAAAAATGCGGCGGCGGACGGAGACTCTCTCATCTGTTGCACCATCTGTCTACAAGTTCTCAAGTCAAGAG